GTTTTCGGTGCCCCGACGGACGTACACGTGGCAAGCGAGGAAGCGTAGGTAGGGTAAAAGTAGAACTGTTATATTAATATAATTAAGTCTTTAAACTACTGTCTCTTCGTTTGACTTAGTTTAACTATACTAAAATAATTGGATGTATGGTGACGTCTCGTCACCACTCATTGCGCGCGTCTTGCGGCGATTGGTGGGTTGATATCATCTCGATATCAACCAATGAACAGACCCTTTGGTCGACCCTTCAATATCACCACTTTGGTGATATTGTTTAAAGAATATCCATCTTTATATTCTTTATTGTCACTTTCCTTAAAGTGACAATTTCATGTAACGGGCTGCCCCGTTACAGCTACGGTTCTTCCATCATATTGGTTTGTGATGAAATGATCGTCAAGTCAATTTTGATCCACGAGATGCGGCGTAATGTTCTCTGCGATCTACGCATGTTTCAGCAGTTATTGTCACAAGCATGACCGTTGAAGAGATAACCGTTGAAGAGATAACCGTTATTTCCGCTCACGGAAAAACACAGAAAAGCCGTGAGATGAAGAGAACCCTTTGCGTATTGAAATAGCGGTTGGCGAACACAGGCCAATAAAATTGAAACAACTGCTTCATTTTGATGACGGAAATCATAGCATAGGCAAGTCATGCCTGTCTACTCAAACGACTTGCGTAAACGAGGACTACAAGATTATGGTCTTTGAATCAGCAACGCAAATAAGGTTTAACATGGCCTAGCCATGAGCGGAGACGATGGCACGCATGGGCACATTATCGAGCGCTGTCAGCGCTGAGGTCACTGGATAACGCATATCCAGCATGGAAAAAGTCAACGTTTTATTTCAGCGATGACGTTTTATGTCAAAAGTGTTCGTTTTAACGTCATCATTCGACCTCCGAGAAATCATAAAGCATGCGTTCTCGCGCGTGCGGTGTAAACCGCCCACGACGTCGCAATGGACGCTCATGCCGATAAAATGATGACGCCAATTTATATTGATCAGATCACAGCTGCTAATAATCAAGTACGGTAATCTCTGTCCTAAACATTACAATCGATGTGCGCTTTTGACGCAAGCAGTATGAGAGATGCGTCGACTAACTCCCTATTCTATAAGATGTCTTTCTAATTACTATAATTACCGACCCATACCGACCCACCGTGGCAGCTATCCTGCCAGCCACCTCTTCATTTCATTGTCTTGACCCTGCTTGCAGTTGTGCGTACCATTGCCCAACTTGTCTGCCTTTACATATACGAGCAAGAGCATGATGGATTCTCTAATGACGGCCTCGACAATTCCAACTGGTCTATAATTTCGCATGTTACAACGGCCAGATGTGGCAGGAAGTAGCTGTTTACCCTCTGTTTGTTTTGTGATTGAGAGATGTTTGCAGCGCTTTATTGCTCACTTCTGTATATCGCGCATCCATCAGTCAAAGGAGACTAAATAATCCTTCTTGGGGCTTTGTGCCTAAAGGTTAAGTAAAACAGTAGCGCCGGGTCGAGGGCCGAGCGAAACTGACTGCAAAAAATACGTGCTGAATTACGAAAGTACGATCATCGCGACGTGTAAGTCATGGGAGAAGTGGGCTTGAGCTTGCTCAACAAGCCAAATAACGATCGGATCAATGGTAATGGTCGATAATGTTCAGCCTTGTCACATTTTCCTTCTATAATACGCCATGAGATACGAAGATTGATACTACACCGATTAGATGTCGATGTGGACAATATGACTGTTTGTCGAGGCCATGAACCTCGCGATGACCAATGTTGGTCTAAACAACGTGGCTCTGATAATCGATTCCTCGTTAACAGTTTGATTAAATAGAAGCATGCGACTATAGCTCATGCAGATCAAACCTGTCGCCCTTTGCAAAAGATAAATATGAGCAAATAAACGCATCTACCATCCCAACAACAAAGCTTAAGAGACTAGAGCAGCATTCTATCTTTAGCGGAAGCATAGGTAACCATTTGATCATCTTTTTTTCGTATGTCACTATTGCTTTTTTCATTGCCAATGCTGCACCCGCACTGTGTCACACTCTGCACACCCTCGACAACGGTGCTTTGCATGTAACGGCTGACCTTACAATGAAGACTATCCGCCTGGAATTTCTCCACTTGAATAATACATGTACATATTAGTAAAGCACGTAAACGTCGACTTCGTCGCGTACGAATACACACACTCCACAATGAAGAGGGCGGCAAGTATCTTACTTACAACTTGAATTAGTTGATGACAAAGCACTAACACGTTGCAAACAGTCAATTATTATATATAAATAATTAAATTAGTCGATTATTGTGTTTATCCAGACAATCAGCGGCTACTTTGAGAAGACTAGACTGTTCGCAGTGACATTTAGAGCAATGTGAAAGAAGTTGAGTAGGAAGCAGTAGCAAAAACAAAACAAATGATGGGCATCACGATTTTTGGCACCCGTATCCGTCTTGTCCTAACAAAGCAATATCAATTGGAGTGTCCTCGATAATGCTAACGTCCATACCACAAGGCTCTCACTGGGTGTCTGGATAAACACCAAGCATTCCGATCAAAGACTGACGGTTAAACCTCCTGAGGCCATTTACATTCCATAAAACAATGTAGGCGCATGAGTCTGCTGGTTACCACCTGGTAACCTTGGTACGTACGATTCGACGGCTCTTTGTAAGAAAACCCTATCGCAGCTTAAGGATCTCCATAAGTACAGGATCTTTCAATGCGGTGGACTCGCATATCTTAGCGGTGATTCGGATCTGTGTGACATACGACCCCAGGCAACAAAAGCCTTTACACGGTACGAGCAACCACATACATATTAGCACGCGCCAAAACTAGCTAGTCAACCAGCGAGAGATGTGTAGTCATGCGCTGAAGAGGACGATGGCGTACCGTACATGAGATCAATGACTGTATCGTACCTAAAAAACGATGACAGCACAGCATGCGATGCTTTGACAAAAGGGTACTTAGTTGGCATGGATGCCAGCAAATTTGTAATGAGAACACCTATGATAGTGGGTACGGATAATTGCTGGTCCACGAGAAGGGCTAGTTTGCGACAATGGTAATCAACATGGTATCATCGTTGCTTTGTTTGTCATTTATATCGCAATTGTAGAATGAATGATGGACTACAAACATCGTTTCTGCAACGTCTCATTCTTCATGCATCCACTACGCAGCGTACTCTCGACCGTTGGCGTCACTAAACAATTGTACCACCTGATCAACAGTAGAGTGCGTAATCAACACGACATCACTTATAAACGATAAAGAATGCGTAATGAATACGAGAATGAGGGATGGGCTCACCGTTGATCGAGAAGTCGAGGGTCTGCACATGCGTACGAGTACAGAGTCATGTACACATATTGTTGTATTTGCCGATCGCTTACATCTAAAATCATTCTATACTTTAATGATCGTTTCGCTACATGGTCGTGGAGGAAATGGAGTGGTGATGGTGAACGTTGTGTAGTCGTCACGTTGGAGACTTCACGAAAAGTCATGTTGCACCACACCGGACAGAAGCTTTGCGATACAAGGCATCTCGAGGACGCATTCACCCACCACGAAATAGGACACGAGAATGTCGAAGAGAACTGCCAGGTACCTTTCAGGCACGACAGCGTTGCGTCTTACTGTAGTAGGAAGAAAAGATGGGACTCATTTTCGTATGCGTTTGAGGATAGAGATGCGGATGTTGGCTGCCGATATGATGACAGTCACGTCTAGTTTGGTCACCAACTGGTAGCACGACGGTGGACCAAACGTGCAGAAATACAGTATGGCGTATCTTGCTTGACCTTGGATGCTGCGTCTATAGCCGCGCCAACCATCGCTCGAGAGCTTCGAATGTACGCCGACTGTTACAAGGATCTTATGTATGGACCGATCTTGCTGTAAGCGGGATATCAAGCAACTATGTAGCAGCTTGACGGCGACAGACCACCAACCAAGGCCGCACATATTGGTGTGCGCATCAATCTTGGTGGTGGTGTACCAAGCGTGAATTGGAATATCGAGAGATTGCGGGTATGTCAGTGGACATACAAAAACAACGACTACACCGAAGGTAGTCGAACTGCACCAATCGCTTCTATGGGAAAAAAGTTGGAAGCAGCTACAAAGCCATGTGTCCATCAAGGACGGTGTCGACGAGAAAAAGTGTGAGTTGACTAACACTAAGACGATGCAATAGCGCGGTATTTAGATTGGTGCGCGAAAGCCCATCATGGGTCAATCATGGGCTTTTTCGCGTACCAATCTGAATATCGCGTTATTGTCGAAGACCAGTGGAATTTTCAGTATACGTGTCATCCTACCGTGAGGCTTCTTGCCAGCCAGGCGATAGCAGCTCTTTATGCGCTTCCTCTTCTGCCTCGTGTGGTCCATTTCACTGTCTCGCTGCATCGACTTCCATCTCATGTTGGTCGCAGTACACTGCTATCCGATGTCACGCGACTGCATATTCGTCAGAGGGCGACTGCATCGCGCTTTGTGACTACAAAACCGAACTTTGCACATAACAGGCACATATGATGCGCTTATGTACGTGGGACTCGATGTTGACACCGTGTGGACTTTTTGCCTCGTATTGGACGTGGGTTTATACATCGGAGCGAGCAGATACACGACTGTGTTAGTGTGATGTGAAGTAACAATGTCAATGGCGACCTGCATACTTTTCCGTGTTCTGTTGCTGAACCGGTTCGGGGTAGGGATGCATGAACGGTTTTGATCGAAACGTTTATCTGCACGCGAGGATAAAACTTGTGGGTCGCTAAAGGCCTTTAGTTTAGACCGGCAACACAGACATTCAGCTCGAGCAAATTCTATCTTCGCGCAAGTTCTTGCACCTGAACGATCAAAGCCTGCAACTTTTTCGAGAGGTACCCACACCACTTTGTCAAAATATGCAAAACCGTTTGCGGCTCGATAAATGTCCGACTTTTCGTAACTTTATCGAGATAAATGAAAGTGGTCGCGTTAGACGCCGGGGGCGCGACGCTAAAGGCGTCCGTGCTCGGTCGAGGCACGACGTCGACCATATCGATCCTGGCGAATCATGTCGCGTCAACTTCCGGTGCTTCTCCGGCGCCGGTCCTGTGGATGGGTCAGAAACTGCAGGAGCTCGAGCGACAGCGCGCAAATTTGCGCTACTTACGGCCGGTGCAGAGGTTACGTGTTGGGATACACTTTTGGGTACTGGACAGGGTGAGAGGGTATACTGAGGGTACACGTGGTCATGTGGTGTGTGAGCAGGGGGTACTGCGTGAACTGGAACATCGAGTCGGAGCTCTGGGGTCATCTTTTGTCAAGTGAGGCAAGTTCAAGTTGCTGTGGGTATTGTTGTGATCGCAAGAGGGTTACGGGGTTACAGGTTACGGGCCTCTTGACCACTGGCACGAGGCACAATTGGTTTTGATGTTATTGTTATGCTTTTGTATTGCAGATCCTGAAGGTGGAAGACCCGTCCGAGTACTCACTGGTGGTGACTGCCCCGTTGTTCGCCCCTACAGTCGTGAACGAGAGCATGGATCAGGTCGTGTTTGAAGAACTGCAGTTCCAGTCTTACGCTCGAGTCAGCGCAGCAGAGAGTTGTGTGCTGTCGTACTCGGAGCACTGCGAACGTAAGTTCCAGAAACGTTGCGGCGAAACTGCGATGAGAGATTGTGGTACGGATGCTTTTGACAAACGAGAATTACAGTCAACAGAGCTGATTCGCTGACTTTGTTGCCTTTGCTGCGTTTTGTAGATGAAGATCAGCTCCGGTTCTCGACGTCGTCGTGCCATCTGGTAGTGGACTCTGGCTTCTCGTTCACCCACGTGTATCCAGTGATCAACGGGCGAGTATACAAGCCAGGTGTAAAGCGCATTGATGTTGGCGGCAAGTTATTGACAAATTACCTCAAGGAGATTGTGTCGTTTCGCCAGTATAACGTCATGGACGACACGTCCGTGATGAATGAGCTGAAAGAGGCGCTTTGCTACTGCTCGATGGAGTTCGACAGTGACCTGAGACGGTACCATTCCGATCGGCAAGAGAGAAAGCATTGGGTTCTACCCGACTATGTCCAGACTTTTGAAGGACGGCTTCGTGATGACAATGAAGAAGACGATACGGCTATGTCAGATGAGGAAGAGCTTACAAAGGCAAACGACGACGCACAGCCTGTGGCGGCGAGCGATGAAGAGCAAATATTGGAAATGGGAGTCGAGATGATCACGGTGCCAGAAGTGCTGTTCAATCCATCGGACATTGGCATTCATCAGGCAGGTATCGCAGAGGCTATCGTGCAAGCTGTTGGGGCGTGTCCTGAAGAGCTCTCAGGGGCTTTGTACGCTAACATCTTGCTCGTTGGCGGCAATACACGATTCAAGAACTTTCGACAGCGTCTTGAGCGCGATCTGCGGCCGCTTGTGCTCGACGACTTTGACGTATGTATGTACGAGGCACCAGAGTAAGTCGCTGCAAGTCGTACGGTGGGTGTTTCATTCATTGGTACTAAGGTGTCTGCTGACATGTGCGCACTGCTAGTCCCATTCTCGCTGCATGGCAAGGCTGTTGTTCTTTGGTAGAGTCCGGTGCGCTATCTGAACGGATCGTAAGCAAAGCAGAGTACGAAGAGCATGGCAGCAACATCTGTGTGAAGCGCTTTTAGTCGTGTGGTACTAGACAGGTAGATGCACAGTACACACAAAGAAGCCGTGGCACACAACGGTGCACTCGGCTTTTCTGGAAACTGGTAAGGACTCTCTGGCGGGTGTGATGCAAACGCGACGACATTGCTGACCATTGTGACCTCTCATGCTGTAGTTGATCTCGTCCGACCTTTTCCTCTCTCTCATAGTCGTGGACGTAAAGGCGCCTCGCATTGGCCCGACTCGGCAGCGGCTCTGCATCAGTGTATTCTAGTTTTGTGTGAAGGCGTCAAGACTTGGAAGCTCGCGATGAGACACCGGTGTATGAGACCATGCTGCTGTGAGAAAAAAGAGATGGATACAGCACGGCTTGTCTGGGACCACACCTTCTCGGAGCAGCTCAGCATTCGTTGACGCAAACTAATGGCAAGTCATACAAAGCGCCCGGGATCGAATAGGTGACATCAGAAGGTACATTCCAGCCATTTTTGCTCATATATGCCAAGAAAGCCGGATAAAGGTATCGTTGAGTCTACCAAGCAAGTAATCACGAAGCTCCGACAGTGGCTTTTGACGTTGCGGATTTTAAGCGACCGACCAAGTGACTGCATGATGCGCCAATGGCTCAACGCATACTCAACGCTTGGTGACATCAGCAAACGTTGCTTCTTCGCCGCGCACCAGTAGGCATGCACGGTATCCCTGATCGCTGAGGTAACAAGGCAGCCATGCAACGATTTCCTTAGCCGCATCACCAGAGACCGTATGTTGCAGACTTCGGGCAGTACCGTACCTGGCTTTGGAGCCGCCTGACCGATCGTCGACAACTGCTTTGTCGCATCCTGAACGGAGGTGACTAACGACAAAGTAAGCTGTGGGTCACCATTGCAAACAGAGCCAATGTTGGTTATCACAAATGTCTTAACGATAAATGAGTATATGGCAACTGCACGGCCATATGACTCCTATCGGACCCAAGCAAGATGCCGCACGACCAAGCATGGGACCGATTTTGACATAAGCGGCGTTGATCCTCGCTACTTCCAGGTCTTGTCGAATTTGCATTTGCGTGAAGAGCTTCTCTTGCAGATGTGGCTGTAGCAAGTAGCGTCAACAACACCTGCACCGACATAAGTGCTGGCGGGTTACCACAACATCCGAATGGCACCTGGACGTCTTCCAACATAGTTGACAAGCTGCGCGCACACGAGATCGGACACCGCCGCGAACAAGGCACAACACTGTCCACTCGTACACATCGTTTTTTCACATTAGCATAAGGAAACATCCAGTCCTAGGAAACGTCTTCCGTGCGTTCGACCTGTCACTTCCCCGCTCTACTTACCAAATGTTACCGTCCTGCCTTCTGTCGTTATGGCCCGTGCCTCCCTAAGCATACTGCAGCACCTTCGTCGGCCTTAAATCAGTCAGTCATCGGCTACTCCTCAACAAAGCCAAGAGCCGTATCTAAGACATGCGCAGCTGATAATCTCCGTTCTGAGTGATGTAGCGGACCCACGGCAGTGCTTGGTACCCGCTCTTTTCGATGATCTTGAGGTAGCGCACCTGAATGCCCGACACTGTGAAATACGGGATCTCAAACTTGACTTGGATCGGCGCTTTCCAGTCATCTGTAGCCTCGTGATTGTCGACACTTGGCAGACCAAAGTGGGCACGCATGAGGTACTCGCGCGAGCCATTGAACTGCTTGATTGACCAAACAATCGCGTCACGGTCTGGCACGTACGTGACCGACCCGATACTGCACTTGAAGCTGGGCGAGTCGACGTCAGGTGGTACAGGGATCACAATCTCCACATTGTTGGCAATACTGCGGCTCTTGAACTGTGACTTGGCCTTCACCATGTACTCAATACGTGAGCGCGAATGGGGCTCCACGACAGCTTCCACCCAGATCAGCGGCTTCACGTGCGTTGCCAAACGGTACGTCATCAGGTCAAACTCGCCATCAGGCGGGATGAACGAGATCGTTCGGTCGGACTCAAAGCGAGCGAGACGCACGCACTGGTGGAACTTGATGTCTTCCATCTCTACAGCTTTTCCCTTGCTAGACGATCGCCCTGTCGCCTCAAACAGTGCCTTGTCATTCAGTCCGAGCTTGAGTTCTGGCATGCCGGACAAGAAACTTTTCATCTTCACAGCACCGATAATCTCCGAGTGCAGCACTGTGCCGTTGCTCGAGACAAGCAGATTGAGCTTCTCAACAACATCCAAGAAGATCTCATTCTTCCGGTGTTTGATGCCTTCGCTACGCCACGACACGGCGTTCGTCAGAGCTGTTGGCGGACGAGGCGCTGCTTCGAGTCTGTGCCCCTCTTGCGTAATGTACTCGCGCAGAATACGCGCCTCGGTGGTCTGCGGGTACCCGTGGTCCATCGTCTCGTCTAGCAGCTCAAAGATAATGACAAAGTTATCCCGAATGCTCTCTTCCTCCAGCTCGCCAAAGTAGTCGCGAAACACTTGGCAGATGCGTGTGAGGTACATGAGCATCAGCGCTACGTTCGAGTTCGTCTTGGTCACGGTCATGAGGTACAGGTTATTATGCTAAGTGATAGGTCCCACCCACAGCAATGCGTAACAATGGCACACACACACACAAAGGTGAGTGCGTTTTACAAAAAGCAACACGACACGCAAAACAACAACACTTGCGACTAGGGGTTCGAGCCCTACCTTGAGGTAGACAAACGTGAAGCCATCTTCCGTGAACACCGGACGCTGCTCCGAGTCCTCTTTCTCCTGTACGTACCGCGTGAACTTGGCCGAAGACGACATGGGGATGTCCCCGCGGTAGTTGCGCGAGATGATGACTTTGCCCTTGAGGTCAGTGATGAACACGGCCGACAGCACCATCGCTCTCCCCCTCCTGTGGCGCTACGGATTGCGAACTGCCGCCGCGTGGGACCGATACCGTCAGGCTTTGAACCATACCGGTATATATTGCCGTGACCTCTGCGCGCTGCTGATTGGAGGATACATAGCGAATCAGAGGTACTTGTGAAAGTTGAAGGTATTTTGCACGAGCCAATCAAAAGTCACGAACGCGCACCGGAGCCCCCGGGATGGCAGACAGCATCACGATCGGCGCGTCCGCCGCTGTCCGCAGCCTGCACGACGCGGAACAGGGCGTCCACGAGTACGTGGAGGAGCAGTATCCGGATGCTGCGTCGCCAGAGAAGGTGCTCGTGCTTCCGTTGCGTCTGAGCGGGTGGTTATGGCGTAAAGAAGGGCCAATGATCTTTTGTCGCTATCGTCGTCGTTTCTGTGTGTTTGAAGCGCAGCAGATGGCGCTCTCAGTCTATTCGGACGATAAGGTCGCGACCAGAACCCTGTTGCAGTGTCTACTGCTCACGAGGGCGACGCTGTTGAGTCGAGGCGATCGACTGTTCGATGTGCAGGGGCACGTGCACGACCAGGAGGTGCAGAAGGAGACGGCCGAGTCGCGTGCTCGACGCGCGAGGGGGTCGCCAACACAGGGGATACGTGGAAGCGGTCGTTTGGAGTGCACGCGGTGCGAAACAGAGAGGTTCAAAGCCGTGTCGGCGAAGTCCTGTTGTGTCTGGGCGCACTGTTTTAAGCATCAGATGCAGAGCTCCGATGTGCGCAGACTGGAGATGGAACACGAGACGAGCCAGAAGGGACATGCTATTGGGACTGTTGCCGTTGACGTGACGATAGCTGACAAAGGCAGTCACGGAAGGATGGAGACCGGCAGTAGCTTTGTCTTCGAGGACGCTACAAAGAACGCGAGACGCCGTTTGCTACCTCTATGCAACATTTGGGCTTCTGGTGGTACTGCATGGTTTACACACTCGAAATCCAGCAGTAGTACAAGCGGTGGAAACATGGTGGTCAAAACAAGAGAACGCATGGAAGAAAATGCTACTGAGGCATATAGGGCAGCCCCCTCTCGAGTCCAGTTTGATCAAGGTACTCGATCAGTCCTTGACCAAAGCAAATTGTCGGCGGACAAGAACTCGCTGACGAAAGCAGCAACGGAAATCTCGAACGCGCAGGTTGGAAAGACAGCTGACACAACACCCCACACTTTCCATTCGAAGCTTCCTTGTACGATACCGGATTGGGAAAGTGAAGAGCTTTTCTCGCATCGTGTTGATTTTGATGCTATCGCTCTGCAGAAAAAGCTAGCTGCTGGCGCAAGTGGCCAAGTTTGGCACGCGCTGTACCGGTCGCAAGAGGTTGTCGTGAAGAAACTGCTGGACATAGTCACGAGGGATGCTACATTACCAGCATCGTCCAACAAAGATGCGGTCAATAGTGTTTGTTGCCGCCGTCAAGCCCTTCTCGATTTCGCTCAGGAGATACGGATCATGTCACGGCTCGAGCACAACCGCATTGTCGAGTTCCGTGGAGCAGCCATCAGCCCAGATAATGATTTGCTTTTGGTCATGGAGTTTTTGCCTCGAGGCGACCTTCGAACGTTTCTTCATGCCGTCAAACGCAAATGCAAAAGTGCTTTCGAACGTAACGATGGTCGTGAACAATTTCAAAGCATCTGGACGTGGACGAAACAACAGTGGCGTCTGGCAATTGACATCATTGAAGGGCTCGTGTATCTCCACTCGTTGAGCCCGCCTCTAGTGCACGGCGATCTCAAATCAGCCAACGTCCTGTTGCGCAGCGATCTCCGTGCAAAACTGACTGACTTTGGTCTATCGCGCTACATCGAAGTCGATGAAGGTGAAGACTTGACGCTGGACAAAAGAGGCGACGATGCTGCCGACAGAGACGGCTCTCGAGCTCGTGGCACCGGACGTTGGATGGCTCCAGAGTTGATCAAATCTGCGGCGCAGACGTCGATGGAGTCGGACGTGTATGCGTTTGGCATTGTGCTGTCTGAGATCGACACGTGTGAGTTGCCGTTTCACGATCGGGAGAAGCTGGTGGCGTATCCATTTTTTCCTCGGAAGAGTAGCGCAAGCAAAAGCAGTTGCAAGGACGTCGACGCATGCTTACTGAACGAGAGCAGTGTCGTGCACAAGATTGTGCATCAAGGATGGAAGCCCACGTTTCGCGTGACGTGCCCGGAGAGCATCAAGAAGCTTGCGCTCGAGTGTCTGTCGGCAGACCCAACGAATCGCCCTACGTCGCTGGCGGTTGCGCATCGACTGCGCAAAGCTGCCATTCAGCGCGAACGGCCCGAGGTTCTCGCTGCGCAGGCCAAAGCCACCGCGTTGCTCCATGTTCGCTGATGCGCGCGCACGTTGGTCTGAACGCCTCACAGAGATAGCGAGGCGACAAAATAGGGCCGCTTTTGTCACGCGGGCCGTTTGACTAGAAGCTGTACGTTAACGCGCGCTAAGATAGATACATTTTGTGACTACGCCCGTAAACTGACTCGTGTGTGCATGTGTGTGCCAGAAAGAGTTGTGCATGTCGAGCCGCTTCAGCTGTACCGCTTATCTGGCACATCTCCCCCGCCCACGAGGATCGCGGTCATTCGTGGTTCTGCTGCCGCCTCGAGAGGTCTCGTCGGGTCTGATGCCAACCGAAGAGGAACTCACTGTCCGTATTGCGGCCGCTGGCGACGCAGTGCGCGACCTGAAGGCGAAGAAAAACGCGGACAACGCGGCAGCCATCAAAGACGCAGTGGCGCAGTTGCTCGCACTGAAGGCGCAGTTCAAAGACGTGACTGGTAAAGCATTCGGTCCGCCGCCCAGTGCCACGAAGAAGAAGCAGAAGAAGAACGAGACGGACAACGAAAAGCCAAAGGGGGAGACGGCTGAGGTGTCCGACGGAGCGAAGGACCCGTCGACAAAGTCCAAGAAAGAGCTCAACAAAGAGCGCAAGAAGGCGCACAAGCTCGCGGTCAAGACGGGCACAGCCGACGCGTCTCCTGCTGCTGCTTCTTTAGCTACTGCTACGTCAGATGGTGCTACTGCAGCTGCTGGAGTGAAGCCGTTGAAGAGAGCTGTGTACGCTGCCATGGAGCTGCCTCCCCCTTCAGCTGAAAACGACGGAGTGATTGTGTTTTCGAGCGCGGGTCAGCTCCCCCGCGCCAGCTTTGCCGTGGCGCAATTGGTCAAGTACACGCCTGAATTCCGCAACATTGGACGGGACGCTGCGAGCGCAGCTCTGGTGCCGACGCTGACGCGCGCCGACGGGCGTCTCGTGTCGGGCGACTTTGCAGTTGCGCGCTACTTGGCGCGTCTGAAGCCCGAATTGGGGCTGTATGGTGCAGCGTTGAAAGATGCAGCGGCTACAGAGGCAGCGCTGGTGTTTTCGCAGATCGATGCGTGGCTCGACTTTGCGTTGACGCGTTTCGGCTCGCGCATGGACGACGATAGTGGACTGCAGATCTTGAATCGTGTGCTCCAGACGCAGACTTTTATTGTGGGCCACGCGCTGTCGCTCGCAGACATTGGCGTTTGGGCATTACTTTCGCCGCTGCGGAACGTACTGGACTTGTCCGTGTTCCCGAACGTGGCTCGCTGGTTCGCGCACTTGGAAGCACAGCAGACAGTGTTTGCCAAGATAGACAGCACGCTGAAAGCCATGAAAGCGCCTGCCCCGGTCGGAGCTGTGAAGAAGGGAAAGGACTCAGGCAGCTGTCCGCCTCTGAAGGATGCTGTGGATGGACAGGTTGTGACGCGTTTCCCCCCTGAACCATCAGGATACCTGCACATTGGCCACATCAAGGCTTGCATGCTGAACAACTACTACGCGCGCCACTACCACGGCAAGCTCATTGTGCGTTTCGATGACACGAATCCAAGCAAAGAGAAGGAGGAATTCGAACAGAGCATTCTCGCTGACCTCAAGCGCGTTGGTGTCGAGCCGGATATAGTGAGCTACACGTCGGATTACTTTCCGAAGATCGCCGACTTTGCTCGCCAGATGATCCGTGAGGGCCACGCGTACATGGACAACACGCCGCAGGAGCAGATGCGTGAGGAGCGCATGGAAGGCACTAATTCCAAGTGTCGCGACCAAGCACCAGAGATGAATCTGGCACTGTTCGAGAAGATGCTCAAGAATGCCCCAGAGGCTCACGGCTGCTGCTTGCGTGGCAAGATCGACATGCAGGCCAAGAACAAGACGATGCGCGACCCAGTGTTTTTCCGTCTGAACCCGACGCCACACCATCGCACGGGGACCAAGTATCTAGCGTATCCGACGTACGATCTGGCATGTCCCATTGTAGACTCGTTGGAGGGCGTGACCCACGCGCTGCGCACGACGGAATACAATGACCGCGACTTCCAGTACCAGTGGGTGCTGGACACGCTCCGCCTGCGCAAGGTGGTCATCCAGAGCTTTGCTCGCATGAACTTTGTGTACTCAGTACTGTCAAAGCGGAAACTGCAATGGTTTGTAGACAACGGCCATGTTGAGGGTTGGACGGATCCGCGTTTTCCGACTGTGCAAGGCGTGCTGCGTCGTGGCGTTCAGGTAGAAGCGCTGCGTGATTTCATCCTCAGCCAGGGCGCTTCACGCCGCATCACGGACATGGAGTGGGACAAGTTCTGGACACTGAACAAGCGTGTGCTGGACCCGACTGCCCCGCGTTACTTCGCTGTCGCCAAAGAGTTTTCGGTGCCGCTTACGCTGACAAATGTGGAGGACAAGGTGGTAGGAATGCCAATCGACCGCCACCCAAAGGACCCGTCCATGGGCATCAAAATGGTGCGCTTCTGCAACAAACTGTTGCTCGAGCGTGATGACGTGGCTAACTTCGTCGAGGGCGAGGAGGTGACTCTCATGCGCCACGGCAACATCATCATCAAGAAGGTAAACAAGGCCGCAGACGGCACCATTGCCAGCGTTGAGGCCGAGAACTTCCCGGAAGGTGACTTCACGAAGACGAAACTGAAGGTCACGTGGCTGGCTGACGTGCCGGATCTAGTGCCGCTAGTGCTAGTCGAGTTCGACCACTTGCTCAACAAGGCCAAGCTCGAGGAAGACGACAACTTCCAAGACTATCTCACGGAGACGACGCGCGCCGAGATGCACGCTTTGGGCGACCACGAGCTCCGCAACATCAAGCAAGGTCAGGTCGTGCAGCTGGAGCGTCGCGGCTACTTTCGCGTGGACGTGCCGTACATTTCGGACAACAAGCCTGTCGTCATGTTCATGGTGCCCGACGGGAAGGCCAAAGCCATGTCGACGTTGTCCACCAAGCTTGTCCATCGGTAAGCGGGCGATGTTCACGACCTCTCACGTAGGAGACCCGAGGAAAAGCTGCGTAGAAGAAGGTGATGTGGAGATAATGGCTTAAGCAGGCAGCATTTACAACGGCTCCCAATGCATTGAGACCTCAATCGGACGTATTCTGACGAGCCTGTCACTTTTTGAGTTGCTTGGCGAGCTGTGCCACGTGCACCCACCCGGTCGACAAAGCGAGTAACGTTACTCCAGAGTGGCTACGTACGTGGCTAACGTTCGCACGTGCCTCCCAGTTTCTCAGCGTCATTCTCCAATTACGATGCGCGCAGTGCTGCGGCTTCAGTACGCAAAGACGTCCGGTCATGCCAACGCTTGTCTAACTCGCAGCGGCCCGTTAACTCCTTTGTTGTTTTTCCTCGTGCAGCTCCTGGTCAAGCAAGCGACGTGCGTGTGTACCGCAGTATGCGACTGGTGTCCCCCACAAAGACGGTAGCGACGTGTGCAGACGTCTTGTGCCGTTCTCGTGTCGCACAGCGCACTTGTTGTGCCGTTCGGCCGTCCCCGCGTCTTTTCAGTTGCCACAGCTGCAGCGCTGCCGTGCACCGGTCCGACGGCATGGCCACAGTCCCGGGCGTTTTCTGGAGACCGAAGAACGGGCAGAACAACAGCGAATGTTGCGGCAGCAGCTGTCGGCGGAAGACGTGAAGGCGGCCGACCGCATCACATGGGTCGGCGTGTGGCTCAACGTGGCGCTCAGTGGACTGAAAGGGGCAGCTGGAGTCGCGTTCCACTCGTCTGGACTGTTGGCAGATGCCGCCCACTCGATCGGCGACTTGGTGAGCGACTGTGTGACTCTCGTGACGCTCAAGTATTGCGCTCGCCCGCCCGATGCACTGCAGCCCTATGGATACGGCAAGTACGAGACGATCGGTGCCTTGTCCGTCTCGTTGCTGCTGGTGGGCGGGTCATTGGGCATTCTAATACACTCGCTGGACTCGCTGCTGGTACTACTGGAGCCCGTCTCGACGTCGACGACCGTGGCCGACACGACGCAAGTGGTCGCGTTGCTTGACCACGTGACAGTAAAGCCGATGGACGGTGCAGAGCGTTTGGCTCAAGCGGGGCACCCACACGCGCATGGCGTAGGTCTGCATCCAGCTGCACTGGGCATTGCTGCGGTGTCGGTGGTGGCCAAAGAGGCGCTGTTTCGCACCACGTTTTCCATCGGTCATCGCGTGCACTCGTCCGTGTTGATTGCCAATGCGTGGCACCATCGGAGCGATGCAGTGACGAGCGTTGTGGCGCTGGGCGGCATTGGCTTGAGCCTTGCAGGCTTCCCGTTGTTCGATCCGCTTGCTGGGATTGCTGTGGGTACAATCATCTGGAAGATGGGCGTCGAGATGGGGTGGCAGCGGGTCAAGGAGCTGTGCGACGCCAAAGTACCGGATCCCGTCCTCGAAAGTATCGCTAGCGCTGTTGGCGACGTGATGAACGCAAGTAAGGGCGAAGTCGTTGGGGTTCGTCGACTGCGTTGTCGCAAAGTCGGTCGGCATGTGCACGCGGATTTGACTGTACTGGTGGATGGCGCGTTGCCAGTGCACGAAGCTGTCAAGTGGCAGCAGGAGGTCAAGAGGGCCATTGAGCACAAAGTGCCGCCTGTCAACGACATTGTGGTCGAACTTGCCACAAATGCGACATCTGCCGAGGTACGGGAAAAGAACGCGCACGCAACACGCAATCGTCACGAGTAGACGACGCATTGTTTCGGACTCGTCCTGTAATCATTGATGGAGACCACCAAGCGACACTGAAGTACCAACAAACGTTGCGATCACTACGTCCGATCAATGCTGAGGTCCAATAGTAATTCCGAGTGCTTCCTGCTACTTTTGCGCGCGCGCGTGCAAATGCAAGGACATTTAGTGTTCGTTTACGCAACTTTGCTGAAAAATCGTGGTAAACGAAAGTGTCCAGTTGGATCGAGTTGTTTCGACGAGACGACGTGTCTCGCGATCGCAGCGGTCCAACAATTTGCCATCACGTGGACATAGTCAAAGATGTCCGACCCGGAGATGGAGTGGGTGGTGTACACCACATATTCACGTGCGGTGCGACGGTTGTGCCTTGAGGTGGACACCGTTTATGCACACCCGACGCATGCGCACTTTATGCCCGTTGCGATACACCACCAATCATTGCCCGTTATCGCCACCAACTGCATGTCCCGTCTTTTCCGACATCAGATAATACATCGCAAAAGGCCTATTTCTGTCGACGACTAGACGATCGAAACCTGGCGACCGCGTGAATAGACAGACGATCCACCCCGTCCCCATCTTTACAACGTGGCGACCACGGACGAGTCGCTCATACTTAAGCAAAGAGCTTTTTGCCACTCGTCGCCGGCGGCCTCTGCCCTCGTCGCCGATGGCCGCACTTTGCCTTTCGCCGACATGGCCAAAGACGGTAAAAGAACGCCGGCAGTCACCGTCCAATCGCACGTCTATGCCTTTTGTCGCATCTACCGCCGTCAGCTCCATACACTTGTGCTGGTCGCGATACTGCTGAGCATCGCGTCAATGATGACGCGGATCATGGAACTCTCTACCGCGTCGGGCGGTTTGTACGGGAGTCAGTCGGCGCGCAGTGTTTTGCGCTCCGAGTCGTCTGATGGCTACGCGGTAGTGTTATCTGTTGCTGGCAGAGGGAGCCAGCGCCCAGAGCCTCATGTCGCACGTGCAGATTCGACGACGTCGATTACGGAACGAGCGGCGAAACTGAGCGTGGCGCAACAAGCGCCACTCAAGTTTGTCGTCGAGCAACCTACGAGACCGCCTTACGTCTACGAAAGTAACAAGACACGGGACGAGTGCTATGCGCGACGAGATATGGGGATCTTTGATACTGTGCGTCGTTCGGCCAGGACTTTTTGCGCCAATGGAGGGTGGGACGGCTCGAAACTGGCGCCCGTGAGTGCGAATCAAGCGACCAAAGTGTCGACGTACCGCATTGCCAAGAGCATTCGCAGTGCAACGTTCCAGAACCTCATGCTGGATTTCGTGAATGTGTCGATCAAAGCGCCCATTAAAAGCATAAAAGACGATGGGGGTGGGCACGATCCGAGGTTCCAGTTCAACATGAAGCTGGTGAATTGCGCGTGCGACGAATTCGCGAGCTATTATCGTAATGAGCTGTCGGGGTATAAAGAGCGCAAATATGAAATGTTGTGGCACCCCCACTTGATGCCAGTGCCGAAACGTGGCATCCCAAATCCATTGATTTGTTCGGAGAGGAGACCGAAAGCAACAAACCGATCGGCGTGGGACTTTGTGAACAATCCACTTACAGCGCCAGATGACCACGAGACGGTGGTGTTCGAAGACCCTGTCGTGTTGATGGCACGCCATGACGACCACAACCCATTTTTTCAGCTGTCGAACGCGTTGAACGCGTGGATTATGCTCACGGCGCTAGAGTGGGATACTGCGAAGACCCGTGTGATTCATCTGGATGCGGGGTACCCTTCACCCTACGATGCATTGCAAAGAGTCATGTTGGGACCCAACTATGAGATTATTGATGGCGCAACGCTGATCGGTAAACGTGTACACTTTCGTGGGGATGTGTTGCTCAGTGCGTTTGAGTCGTCTGGGCCCTTGATGGAGCATCTAGGTAAGGCTGAGCCGTGCTATGACTCCGAGTTGCTGAAGACGTTCCGCGCGCAGTCTCTTCTCAAGATGAACATAACGCCGGAAGTTGAACGTGGGCTCGGTGTGTCCAGGATCCGACCAATGTATGTGACCGTGATTACTCGCCGGCCATACTTGGGACGTAAGCTGCAACGCATATGGGTGAACGAGGACGAGGTGATGGCAAAGATGCGGAAGGACTACAAAGATTTGAACGTAGAGTTCCGCTCGATCGACTACGTGAACATTACGCTACATGAGCAGATGAAGCTTACTATCGAGAGCGACATGGTGGTCGGCATGCACGGTGCTGGTCTGGTCAACGTGATTTGGACGCGCCCAATGACTACGGTGGTGGAGATTTTCCCAAAGAAGAAGCGTCGTTACGGGTATCGGAATATATGCCAACTCGTGGGATGTGACTGGCACGAGTTTCGTGGCGGCAAGGACATTGGAGGTGGCTTGGATCCGAACTCTAAGAACAAGCGTATTCCATATGCCGAGTGGAAGACGTATTTCCATCCGGTGTTTCAGCAAGCGTATGACGCTTATGAGGAGCGACAGGCTGTGTTGCATGGGCAAGCGCTGTAGGATCCAATCGTCCGACTCCCATCAGTTCCGATATCGAGCTGACCAGCAGACCGCGATAAGTCGTAAATGGAGGTGTTGGATAGTTTAGAGAACCTGCATGTAGATGGTGCACATTTGGTATAGAGGACAGGTGCGATCACGCAAATAATCGTGACGAACGTAGATGACTTTGAAGACACAGTTGCGCAGCAGGCAAATTCTTGTCGTGTATCCTTTTTGCACCAGGCACACACTTGCGCGGTTTCTGTTGACAAGCGATGTTTGCATTTGGTGATCACACCATTTACTCGTAAATTATATAAGAATTACCGACGTCCCTGCCGCTTTGTGAGTACATGCCTTAGAGCATCCATTGACGGATTACTGCTCTTCTGGCAAACTAAGACGCAAGCAATGAAGTGCACGTCATTAGTGCCTCTGGTCATGTCCAACGAACTACACCTACCGTCTCGATTGCACTCGTGATATTTCTAGTGACAATTTTACAGCTTTTGCATATAACGCGTCTGTGTCGTATTGATTGAGTAATGATGCGCTTCGTGCGTTTGTCTGTCCTGCGTTCGCGTGGTCGTGTCACAGGATGTGGTACAGTCAAGCAGCACATGCTTTTGTCATTTGTCAGTGCAGCAAGCAATGTAACTACCGCCTTCTCTCCTCTTTTTTCATTGCTGCCATTGAGGCTTGGCCTCTTTGACTCCAATCACTCACAGGTCTGTTTCAGATCGACTCACCACTAGTGCAACGTTACTAGCCACTGTAGATGAGCCGAACGTGGCAGATGATGTCGCCGGACCGTGTCCTTAGTCACACATTGTTGATGAGTGTAGACAGTACTAGTTCTAGTGCAGCGGGGTCTAAACTGCTCGTTTGCGTCAGAGAATGCCAATTGGATTCTTGAAGAGAAGCCAGTCATAGACGTACGAATGGGTATCGAAACAAGGTCTGTGACAAAAAGAATGTCTGAAAGGGAGGCCAACAAGTTCTCTGTAACAATGAGTGGTCTCGATAAGGTGCGTCATGATGGCGGGAAGAGAAAACCACAAAGCGCCGGGTACCAAGCAATCGTTGCGTCTCCGACCCGCGGGAAGCAGACCATAGAGCTCGCACAATGGCGATAATGACAAAGTAAAGCTAATACGGTTGCGGCTCAGTTCGCGCACTTGTACCGATCTTGGCTTCAAGTTGCCATCATCATGGCATTCGTGGTCTTGACATTCGATTTAGTGTCCATGTAAATGTCAAGATCCTGCATGCAGATCGAATGTCATTTTCGATATCATGTCGAATGTCATCGTGAAGGACTTTGTGCGGATAAACTCAACAATACTGCCTCTGACATTAAGTTTAGCAAAAGCGTCGCAGCAAATGATGTTTGACGATATCATCTTTAGGGTGATTTTCAGCAATAGTCATCTTAGCAGATCCCCTTCGACGAAATTACAGCCAAGGATGTTTTACAGCAACATTACCTCTTTGAGGGAAATATCACCAAAAACAATAAATAATAAAACGAATTAATCGACAGCAGTTTACAATACACTGCATAAAAGAAGGCAAGACAGCTACATATCATTTGACAGCAAAAATGGGTCAGTGCAATGATGATCTTAAACGATTACATTCTCTCGTGTTTACCCTGATAAGCAACGATAAAGAATTGATACCGTCGAAGGTAATATTTTGCACTGATCCACTCATTTATTGATATAGGCCACTAAGTCAACGCGCATCTAGCAACTATCGCTGCCAGAAGCGCGCAATGGGCGGTAAGCAGAAAGCTATTAGAAATTTGCTGATCAAAATAGCTAAAGCAAGATCAAATGGATATAGCTGAGGAGATCTTGACTTTTTATACGTACAGCTATACTTTCACCTCTAGTTTACGTAATTGTAATGGGGGCACTGGTAAAAACGCACTGACCACAGTAAGATCTGACCCTCACAGACAAATAAGGTACGCTGTTGGCCGGCTACCTCACGTACACGTGCGCAGAGGAAGGTATCGATATTAAATGACATCGATCAGTAGTTGGAAAAGTAGAAGTGTTATGCGACATAATTAGTTCTAAATCGTGGCTTATCAATTAGACTTAACTCTTTGGCTGGTATAAAAAAACTTTCAAAGAACCCATCAAACGCTTCTTGACGGGCGCAAAGGTGGTGAGTAAACGTCACCATACATAATTGTTTATTCGTGAATCATAGAGTAGACCCTTGATCACCGCAATCATATCACTGTAGATAGTGACATATTTGAAAAATGTGTACCATTGATCATCTATAGCCATTCCTTACAAATGACAATACTACGTACCCTGATCTCGTCATAACAGTATTCGTTTAGCAGATTCACCTTCCTATGCAAGTACAGTGTGCATGAAGCTACGAAACATTTACCTACACTGTGTCAGTGTCGGCAATTCGTTTTGTGTCACTACAAGCGTTCAGTGCCGTTACACCTGGTATAGCAATTCGGGATCCGTCTAAAGACCACGAACGTTCCATCCAATATGACTCGATGGCGTTCACCTACATTGATGCTGATCAAGCAAATTGTCCGGACATCTCACGATCAGTGACTGAATTTGTTCTTCGAATAATCGGATGGAGCCTTCGGTGTAAGAGCAAGACACAGAAGGCCGTAACGGATGATACGTGCAAGCTGGAGCTCATTGCCGCAAGCATGCGTCGAGCAATTCATTATGGACTCGAAAACTAATTGTAGAGCTTAGCTTGAAAACAGCAACTGGTGGATTGCGAATGGAAAATCAAAGCATGCTGACGATCTACCCCACTGTCGGCAACTACGACGGAGCGATTCGGTACGCAAATAAAAGCAACAAGATTGCAGAAATTGTCGAGAGAAAATGCTTACAATCAGTTATGGCACCACCGAGGACAATGCTGCAGACATCTGCACCAAAGCTCTCGGACCTTAGAGGTTTGAAGAGCTGAGGAAGAAACTAGGGGCGACGAGCGCACCATGATTGAGCATAACGACGCGTGAAGACTGAAAGCGTGAGTTTCATAGGTGAATTAGCGATGCCTCGTCATGGGAACAGGAAGCTCACGTTTCTGTCTAACTGCCTGGACTCGACAAGAGAGACCGGGAATGACCTGTGACTTCAAGTATTGTGCGACCTACTGATTGACGAGTGATGATTGATGAGGTCGGTAGGATTCATGACGGTTAAAGTGGGTTTCCGTGAAAGCGTTCCTCCTCGTGCTACAAGCACGTTGTTCACATGTATAAGAAATAAAAAATGAATCTCACTTTGCGAACTGCTACTTGTTAAGCACTTCCTCGTGATCATTGCCAAGGTGTGATACCTGCAGAAGCGCTAAAGCTGTAAGTTTATGAGCCCAATAAACATGTTGGATGCTGAGAAGAATTTTTATTATACGCGGCGCGTGAATGATACATTCATTTGAGCGATATCGAATGGGATGCGGTCAAATCTAGAGCTGGACCGTCAAATGACCTACCATCAGCGCCATGCTGTTCGCTCTGAAAGAAGACGCACAAGTGTCGCGATCGCCGTGTTCATCCAGCATGAGATTGACGCATCACGGGATCAAGTAACCTTGCTTCAACATCAAGGTTCTCAACCGACACAGCTGTCGACTGAACATGGTGCAAAACAGTTTGAACTGTTGAGACAGAAGCATGTCCAGAACGCTTATACGGGTGACGCACGCTCGTCGTTGTATATGCTTGAAAATAGAGATCGCCGAGTACGAGGGAGTCAAAGAGAATTCATGTTAAGATGGTTCGTCGAGTCACACGATGCCACACGGGCTTGTTTGTTGATAAAAGAGATATAAATTAAGTATGCAATCGGTCAATGTGGTTGCTCGAGCTTATGTGGCGGAGTGGGAATATCATTTTTTTGAAATTCGACTCTCTACTGGCGCCCAGACATAAGAGTGTCGGAGGGAGTTCATCTTCGTGATTCTTTTATTATCTAACTTGTTTAACCGTCATTAGTACGGGCTTCACTCATTCATGTTGACTCGTGTCGATGGAATACTTGACCGTGTTTGACAAAATTTATCAATTGTATAGAAATTTATACGACCACGGTTAAACTTGCAGAATGTTCGATGTGAGTCACCCTGATCTCTACAAAATCGCCTTGTCCAAATTAGATCCTCGACATGCGAGCCTCCTGACCACTCAAGCCGTCCCGCGATCTTGCACTCTGCTTCCAATCGCAGTCGATGGGTTTGGATATATATCTTTCACTCCTGGCCGAATATATTGGACAATGTTTTCGATGTTCGGCTGATCTTCTCAGACTTCGGGAGGAATAATAATGCTTCATCGGGTAGAGGAACTACACATTTGAACTTCTGTCAAGTTGAGCTCTCATTAAATGTTGCCTAACCAAAGTATGAGCCTCTAGCTATGCATATGCCTGTCATTATGATGGACTACCACGTGTCACCATGTGCTGTCGAGATTTAATGTTCCATCGTATTCGGTAGTCACGCTAGATTACCATGATCTAACCACCCGCAGATCGAGTGTACGAGATCACGTCACCTAAGACCACGTCACCTAAGATCACGTCTCCCGAACATCACATCTTCTAAAAATACGCCTTCCACGATCACGTCTTCCAAGGTCACATCGCCCAAGATCGCGATGTCCAAGATCGCTAAGCTTAATATTGCGGTGTGGTGCACCCCATTTTGTGACCACATCTATTGCAAATATACAGTACTTAGTCGTAGCGTAATCAGTCGTCCAACCCTCTTGATCCGCTTTACCAAATCAGATCAGAATGTAAAGCTTTAGGTGTTTAGAATTGTCATAGCTACCGATATAACCTGTGCAGAAACGCCAATTTATCGACCTGATCCAACAATAGTATCGACTGAGCTCGTACAATACTGGCTAGAACCGAAAACCACATCGTACATATGTCTATTTCCTCCTTTACTTCACCACAATCGTCTGCTCAAATTCTTCGATGGCCATCAAATGAGCGTCTTTG